TTAGCGGATTTAGGTGGCCGCTTGCTCATTTGCCACCTTATTATATATAAAAAGAGACATCTGTAATATCTTTAGGCTAGTTTTTATCTAACTTTAAAATAAAGACAAGAAGTATAAGAAGCTAAAGCTACACTTAAGATAGATTAAATACAAACAGAGCCGTCAACTGGGATTTCATTAGACATAGAATAAATAACAGAACCGTCGACTTGGTATATTACTTGGGACATTAAAAGTAATACATTCATGTTCGTTCGTGTAAATGTCAGTACCACTTACGTTGTCTCCAGGCGAGAGGTCGGCGAGCTGGCGCACGATGATGTCGATGGCGACCTTGACGTCGTTGGTGTAGAAGTGGTGCGCGGTCTTGCTGCGGCTGAACAGGTCTATGACCAGCTTCAGCACGGCGTGCGGCGGCGCCGGCTCGTGGTCGAAGATATGCACCGGGTCCTCTGTAATATATGAAGGAACAATTTACAATAAAACAAAATATACATTTTTAAAGGTTACTGAAATCATATGATCCCAGTTAAATACCACTTTGAACATAATTTGATTGGATTCCTTTCATATCTCATGTTACTTTAACACAATACATTACAAAATAATGCAGCTTAGATACTGTAGGTTAAGTTATTAATGGTCACTGCAACGATTATTGCCTTTATTGTTAAAAAAAATAATGGAATAATACACTGGGAAACAAAACACATTGTTCAAGATGAAAAATGTGTGATCACAAAACAATAAGTTAACGATTATCCTATGCCTGTATATAAAATATTATTATATACTAGCTTTCGCCCGCGACTCCGTCCGCTTGGAATTAAAAAATGGAAAACGAGTGTGTTATTCTTCCAGACTATCCTCTACATCTATACCAAATTCATCGAATTCCGTCCAGCAGTTTAGGATACAAACTCTAACGTGAACTCTGGATGCATTTTTATCCATCTAAACTGTCGTATTTATAATATCAATAAGAAATAAGATTACCTTCGCGGTTTAACAAGAGGAGAACTTTCTCGCAGAATGTTTTTGCATTATCTTGAGTCTCGAGCGCATCCAGCAGAAGGTTCTCGTGAGGGTTGTCGAACTGCAGGTTGTAGGCCAGCAGCAGCGTCAGGAACAGATCCGGGATCTGCTCGTCCACGTCTGTCTCCGGGGGGTTTTCAATCAGATCCAGTAGAAATTGAGCAAACTCTACGCCCAGTTGCTCTGTTGAAAACATTACCACCATCAAATAAAAACGTATAGATAATAGATGCTGTAATAAATGCTTTATTGTGTAACTTATATTTATAAATTTCGTAGCCTTGGTTTCTGAACTGTTATTTTGTGTCTCAGGAGCCAATTCCTTCCTCCTTACAAAAACAAAACATTACATTTAGTGCCTAAATAAAGAAAACGAAGAAATATGTACCAATCAAATTGGGCCTTTAAAATAAATAAACATTAAATGAGACAGAAAAATTACATATATTTCTTTTTGTGTTCCTAGGCGCGCGTTTATCTATGTCTATACCAAGATTACAAAGAAAAGTTTGTATTTTCGTATGTATTGGAATAAATCAAAAACTACAGGGCCGATTCCAAAAATGCTTTCACCATTAAAAAGCTATGTTATCAGTGAGTAACGTATATTTCGTTTATCTTATTTAATTTACGCGGCCGAAGTCCTAGTTATAAAATAACTCGCTTTCGCCCGCAACTCCGTCCGCGTGGAATTAATAAAAAAAAGTAAGTAGCCTATCATATGTGTTTTCCAGACTATGTTCGACATCTATGCCAAATTTTATCCAAATCTGTTCAGTCGTCTAGACTACAAACTGTAACAAACATCCATCCATCTAAACTTTCGCATTTACAATATTAGTATGAAGTATGATGTTACCGAAGTGTGTGACCGGCAGCTTGTCGGCCATGGAGAGCAGCATGGAGAGCAGCAGCGCGGAGTGCGAGAGGCGGCTGAGCGCGCGCGGGTTGTCGCGCATGTCGCGCGCGAGCTCCGCCGGCAGCGCCGACAGCGCCAGCGTCGCCAGCGCCGTGCGCTCCAGCCCGCACATCACACCGAATGCCTGACACGACCATTCATACCATAGCTATCACGACTACAATGGGAACTAACAGCCAAGAGTCCACAGTGTTTAACCCTTAAATTGAAACGGGTAGTAAATTGAACATAGATTAAGTGAAAAAAAAAGATTTTTCAAAATAGTCTATTGCGTAAGAAAGAAAAGATTGATGTATAAATGCATCATCACGCATTTAATGGTTAAATACCTGAAAATTCTAATTTGATACCGGTATTATAAATCGCATTGGGTACCTACAATCGATTTTATTTTAATATTAGGCTGTTTACATGTTACCTTTGACTGATAATCTTCAAGTTGGAAAACAAAAAGGAGCATATCACGAAAATGTATAAAAATATCGTTTTGATTTTTTTTACTTCCCCTTTAGGAAAAATCATAGTAAAGGGTACACTTATACATTTTGTAATTCGATTGAAAAATCAGGCTTCTTATGGTTAAGAAAATCGATACAGTGCCGATGTAACGGCGCAACACTAGTCCGATGCAAAGATTGACGTGTCCCTATGACAGCTGTCAATGTCAATTACATGTTTTATAAAGCGCGCCATTTCTTTCTGGGATCCATAGCAATTATTTCCGTGATATTGCTCGGCTAAACTGTTTACAATCTTTAGTTGAAATGACTTACATTAAAAAAACCTTATCTATCAATTGCAAATATATGATACACTTTTTTCTTCACTGAATAAGATAAAAAGTGATCAACATTTTGAGTTTTAGAGTTTATAAAAACTACAGTATAATGTACCTAATTTTTCTTACCTGTAATAAAAGCTGTCGCAGCGGCCATCTTGTCTCCATCTGGTAGTACTGCACCAAGGTAGTGACATACGCATATCTATGGCTACTGAGCACATGCTGCGATATGTTAATGTCTGCATTTGACTGTAACAAATTAATTAATAATACAAACCGCTGCAAATAATTAAATCTATGAATACTTAATCAGTAGCTTATAATGAATATATAAGAATACATATATGTACTTCTAGATTGGTCATATATGCCAAATTTAAACAACATCCATAGAACCATTCTGGAGATACAAAGTGACAATCAACCATTTGTAATGGTAGTAAAAGTTGATGACTTACTATACATTGATTGAAAACTTCCATACTAGCTTGGTATTGTCAGCAACTGATTATAGATCGGGGGTCTCTTACCATTACAGATATAAGTTCTAATAATTGTGTTTGTATATCATGTGCATCGTCATGTAGCGCCCAGCCTCTCTGTTGTGCATCGTTAGCTGCTTTAGATAATGCGTTAAGTGCTGTCATCATTCGTAGCGCGTCAGGCGCGGCGTCAATCGCATTCTTAGGGCATGTTATGTTGCTATTCGCTTCACGAAGTAATGCATCGATAATAGATCTTGCTGCTCCACCGGGAAGAAATTCCTATGACCACAATAAACTATTATGCATTGTTAAAACTGCAAAAATATCAGTAGTGAAATCTATTGCATGTATAGGTTAACTTGTTAATTAAAGTATAAAACAAATAACAACAATATAATAAAACGAAAACTGACACTTCCCAGTTATATGTGATGTCAGCAATCACAGCATGTTTTTTAATTTTTTTTTTATTGAAAGACCCACACATATGATAGATAGGCTATATATTTTCGTGCTATTTAATTTTAAGGTGAAATAAATGCAAGAAAGGGACAAAAATGACAAGTCATAGCAATAATGATGCAACATTGTCATGGCAACTATTGCCTTCTAATGTCAAAGGCCTTTATTGTCATTTTAGCATTTGAATTTCATCATTTGCAAATAAGGTTTTACGGGGTGAAAATAATAAAACAAAGTCATACTAACATCATTTGTATGGAACTACAAGGAATAAGCTAAATGGACATATTTATTTAAATGTGCAAGGAGATTTCAAAACTCACCCTTAATGATATAAGCACAGTTTCCACAGCAACTTTAGACATTTCATGGCTCAATTGAGTTTCCTTGCGTACTGCTTGTACAATTTCATAAATAGCATTTGGTTTTATGCTCTCACTACTGTCCTGGCTGTCATCCTGGTTGTCAGTGTCAGAAGAGAGCTGATTAGAAGTCTTTGGCACATTGTTTTTCTTCCTATCTTCCTCTATGTCTGAAATAATTATAAATTATTATTTTTTTGTCTCTGGATGAGTATTAAAGCTTTAATCAAAAACTATTGTGGTATTCAAATTGGATCAATGCTGCCAAATTTTTTAATATGAAAGTGATTTTCAGGTAAATTAAAACTTTTTGAATAAACAAGAACTGAACTTCACCTTGTAATGTTTTTTCTGTAGATTTTATTGGAGATTGTGGTGCATCATATTCTTCAGAGACATGTTGCTGAGAAACAACAGGCCTCAAGTCAAATGATGGAGATACACCATTAGGAGTAGAATCATCCCAACGTGGTGGCGGTTTAGGTGCTGGAGGCTTTTTAGATGGTGGCTTAACTAATAATTGAGCTTCCTTCTTCTTTTCAATTAATCTAGCTAATGTCTCCTGTTTCTGTGATGACATTGTATGATTCTCATTAAGATTTTTTATACAATCGTTTAAGAACGCCAGAAAAAACTCTGGCTCTGCCTGCAACAATACACACCTTACTGAATAATGAAACTGAGCATTACAATTAGATGATAGATAATTAGCGTTTTATATTGATTTTACCTTGACTGAGGCCACGTAATTCGACGGAACGAAACCCACATGACCTTTTCTGTTAACAACATGCCACCAGTTTCGCTGTTTGGTGTTGGTTTGTTGAAGGTAAAAATATTCACCTTCTGTAAAACTTAACGTCTTCGCTAATGTTGCTTCGAAATCATACAGAGCTTTGAGCATATCACATTCTCCTAGAATTAAAAAAAATAACGATTGGATTATATATTTTAATATTTTATAATGATTGTAAAACCCGAATTTGTCTTTAAAAATAAAAAGGATCACCATTTTGCGCGTCGCTCATATTTGAAGCTGTAACTAGCTTTTGATAAGATAATATGGAAAATTGTTACAAAAGTTTCTGCATTGGTTCTATACGATAAATATTAATATTTTTCGGTAAGATAACAAATCAAAATCAATTTTTATTTGAGTTTGACATATTTCTTTGACAGTGGGAATTAGTCAGTGCTGCCAGATAACTTTGCGGTAGTTAAACTTACCAAACGGTGTTAAGTCAATTTTAAAATTATTCAATTTTAAAATGTTTAGCTTCTTATATAATTAACCGTTACATTATAAAATTCAATTAAAATGAATAAAACATAACAATCCATAAGTAATCCATAAGTAAACCATGCTTAAGTCAGTTACCAACCAGTCGTAAGAATGATCAATTTGCAATGTGTCTAGGTGAGGTACCTATATATCCTCTTTGGGTACATATGTATTTTTTGGCAGGTGTAAAATTCAGTTCACCTTACCTCTTCATCTTTTCCTCATCATGTTTTACCTTTATACACTCAAATATTTATTATCGAATTAAATTTTAAACTTCTCTGCTTTTATAAAAAAAAAACTATTCTTTATAGCTATCCTAAGAATTCTAGATTACTTTACTAACCAAAATTAACAAAACAGATAGAAAAAAAGAAGTAACTAGTTTGAATTAATGTGAGGAAAAACAAGAAAAATTCCATGCCATTACAATGCTGCAATTGCGAGTTGCAAACAAGAATAATCTAATAAGTGTAAGAAACTTCTTGTAGTGGTTGATTACTACGTTACTGCAACTAATTTTTAAAACAGAGTAAGCACTAGAAAAATAAGCTTGCATAGACACACATTGGGTGTCTTTTATACCAATTTGTTTTGAAATTATATTAGTTGAATTCAGACATATCTTGGTGCAGGTTGCATCACAATGTTTTCCTTCTCTATAAGAAGGTAGGGTAAATGTACATACATATGGAATCCGAAACATTGCTACATTGGCGGATTAAAACACTGCAGATGGACATTACAAAGTACTTAGTAACTACATGCAACATAGTAAAAAGGCAGGAAAATTCTTCCATGATTTCATTATTTGTGTCTTGTATAGACACGATTCTTACATATATTCAATTACTTATAAGATACAGTGTTTATTGTTCAATCGTGCATTCTGCGCAGTTGTTATATTTAGCTGCCAATCAAGGAAAGTTGAAGGTCATTTGTACATCCCCCAACTGAGTGATGCATTAAACTGATACGATGTGATGTTTCTCTTGTACCAAGGTCACACGTAATTAACATGTAACCCTGGTACACGTGTATACTATTAACAGATGATCATAATAATTTATTGAGCAGATCTAATTATTGTAATCCAATATTATAAGATAATTTATTTTCTAAACAAGGATTATCTTGAAGAAACTATATCAATTTATACTACACAAAAGTATAAATACTTCTTAAGACAAATATTCTCTTATTCGATGTTCAGTGGTGAACTTGGAAACAACAAAATGAAGGCTATTTATGTTACTGCTGTTTGTCTGCTTTTGCTTTTTAATCATTATACAAATGCGAAATCTCTAGCCAGCCAAGAGGTTCTTGTCCAACTGGCAAGTCAGGAGAGTGTGCACCGCAGTCCAAGAAGCGCCAAGGCATTAGCCAGCCAGGAAGCTATTTCCCTGTTTGCAAGTCAGGAGAGTGTGCACCGCAGTCAAAGAAGCGCCGAAGCATTCAGTAAAGAGGGTTGATAATAGAAAGAAGGAAACGTAAACAATGTTAAAAACAAAAATCAGTAAAAATGTAGAATATTAGACAGTTTTGTTAACTATTATTAGTTATTTAAAAATGTAGTAAATGCTTAAATAAAGTTTAGAAAAAAAGATATGTTTTATTTCTATTGTATGTTATTTTACAACGATGAATCCTATCCTGAACTGTTTCAAGTTAATCCAAGTCGTTCTGTACCTAGAGTCTACTTACCAGGGATCTCGAACCATTAGCACGCATTTCTACATAGTACATATGTATCATACCATAAGGCGACAAACGATCAAGCGGCTACCTGAATCCGCCAAACTGGTGAAGCGGCCGCTGCCCATAGACATCCGCCGGAGGAGGAGACGCACACAAAGATGACATCCGGCACCACACTGATCAGAAGAAACGCGGAATTTCTCCCACTTCACGCCTCTTTTCTGTGTGGTCGTGGTATTTCACCGGGCGAGCCGACCCATTCGTGCGAAGATGTTTAAGCGGGCTCTACCACTGTTGATATTTTGTGCATGCCATTGATAACAAATTATGCACTACAAAAATATGATCTCTAAATGTACTTGGTAATCACAAAAAGAAAATTTTTATGGCGCGACTACATTAATCATTTATTTACAAAAATCGCACAAACGTAAATATCGACTTTATTGGTCCGAGTTAGCTTTTACAACCTCTTTTAACTAGGCTCTAAAATTTTAACTACATTATTGTTAAAAAAATTTAATTTCTTAGCTCTAATGTAAATTATCTTCCGGTTAATATAGCATTACACATTACAGGGCAGTAGTTTCTGCTTTAGAAATTTTAACCCACTTAGAGCCCGCTTTAACATCTTTACACGAATGGGCCGGCTCGCCCGGTGTAATACCACGACCACAAAGGAAACAGACGTGAGGTGGAAGTATTTCCGCGTTCGTCTGATGAGTGTGGTGCCGGAGGCCTAATTTTAGCCCCTTTCCCTTTCCACCCTTTTCTTAAGAGAAAAGGATAGGAAGGAAAAGTGGATTTGACGGTGGAGGAGACGCATAGGAAGAGAAATATCCTCTTTACGTGCGTCTTCTCCTCCGTCAATAAAGTGTAGGAAACGCATCTGCAATTGCGGATGATCATGTGTAGCGGTCGCTTTCCATTTCGGTGGATTCAGGTGGCCGCTTGCTCGGTTTCACCTTATATTATAAAAAAAAAACATGCTTAAGTAGTTCCTACCTAAAATACTTAATGCCCTTTAAAGAGCTGAACTAGTAAAGTGCACTGGCGGATTTTTGGACAGCCACCACTTATATGTATGAAATGAAAGGGCTTGAAAAGTAGCATTTACTTGTATATATGATAAATTCATAAAAACTGTCACAGTCGATGAGAATGCTAATAGTAGAAATAGAAAAAATTTAATCCCGGTTAAATTCATACATCCACAAGATCTTTTATTGTTGTTGTGACCATTTCCTGGCAAGGGAATTGCCGACCGGGATAGCGGTCATGCTGAATATTTTATGTTAGTTAAACAACAGTCTCGCTGGAGCTATTGAAAAAGTGACAGTAAATTTTTGATACTATAATATTGGGACCGAATTTCTGATACTGGTTTATTTAAGGAATATAAACAATGAAATGTGTTCCTCGGATATGTGTATCTATGGTTCCTATGGCATTGGGGATATTCATGAGCGTAATATAAAAAAAAATCTCTATACTCATATAATAAAGTGTAAACACACACTACTTTGTGGCGTAGGATGTCAGCAATCACAGCATATATTTAAACAACTCTTACTTTAACAAAAAAACCCTACACTTACGATATGCTATAGGCTAAAAGTTTTCAGGTAATTACACTTAGGGGATAAATAAATTGGAAAATTCCCTTAAAGTGGGTAAGGATCCATAAGCTACAAGCTGCTAACATTAAGGAAGCAAAGTTGTTATGGTTTGTTATCATGTCAAACCATTTTGAAATTTGCAATTGATAATATGACAATGTAAACAATAAAA